ATCCTCAGGTCAGACAAAGCGAGGTTTTAGACCAAGCAGGAAGCTAAAACTTAGGAGAACAGGCGGCACATCTAGGCCATCTAGAGCCCAGTGCATGAGCTGGGGACCGGCCCAGGCCTCCCACCTTTAACTGCTGCTATTTGGTACTAAACACCCATCCTCTTAACAAGCCTCCCCAACCCTGTCCTCATCTTTGGAGATGGCCCCTTCTCCACAGCAGAAACTACTCTCCTGGTGTTCCCCACTGTCCACATGGCTCAGAGAAGGGCACCACCATTGACTGTTTTCCAAACCTGAAACCCCTTCTCCACCTTTCAAATCAGTCCTGTCCGTGATCATCACCAACTCCGATGGGTTCTGCCCCTTGCTCTTAAATGCAATCACTACTCTCTATCTTCCAGTCAGTCTGTTACAGGTATCTATAATTTCTTTAGGCAAACTGGTTGTCACACATATTTTACTGTATTTTAGTAACTGATTTTCTTATCTGCCTCCCCATCTTCAAACACCTTGAAATCAGAGGTTGGTCATTCTTTTCCCCATGCCCAGGACCTTCTAAGAGGGCCATCTTGTATGAGTACAGTTTGTGCATTGCTCAAGGGCCCTATTTGCATCTATTTGTCGGAATATTCGGTTTATGTGGAGAGCTTCCCGGGCAAGAGTTGTTTGTGTTGTACAGTAATAGAGTAACATGCAGGTTTATGTGAGAAAGGGGTGCCTTCTTCTCATCTCACAAATGTGCCAAACCAGCCACCATGCGCTCTGCCAGTAACTATACAGAAAATTTTTGACACGGTGGGGAAGCAAAGTCTTGGAAGAGACAGTCAATTCTCAATACCTCACAGCTCAGGGCCTCACACCATGGCAGCCTTAAAGGTGTCAGGCACCATGTGTAACAACCCCAGAATGGAAACAGCCTCCATGTCCATCAGGAGCAGAATGTACCAATAGGTGATGGTAGATTCCTACCTGGAATAGTACTCAGCGATGAAGTTTGACAGCTGCTGCTATACTTTATGGATACGAGTAAGCAAACAAAATGTATGAAATGAAATTTAATTCAGTGGATATAAAGTACAAAACTAGTCAAAGGAATCCTTGGTGTTAGAAGTCACTAAGGTGTTTTCCCTTAAGGTGTGGGTCTGGGAGGGGCTGTGAGCTTTTGCAGTTACAACAATGAATGATAAACCTCTTGCTGCAGTTGCTGTTTTATTTCATAAGAGTGTGCTCTCTTAGTGGATCTATGTCCTTATGATTTATGTATTTTAAAACATATGTGTTAAACTTAAGTAAAATATTGTCCCCACTTTTACCTCTCCCTGCCCAAACCTCTCTGCTCCTCTCAGCTTTCAACAGCTTCCCTTTTTTAGAGCAAATTCCAGAGAGAGCTTAGGAACCTCAGAATCCACAAGGCCTCCTTCAGCTGCTCCTGAGTCCCCTCCCTCTGCTGATATGACTGAGCAGAGGACATTCCTCCTCCTGGCTTTTAATGTGGAACTTTCTCATTGCTCTTTTTCTTCATTGTGAACTGTCTCCTGTGGCTCTTGCTGTTTCGTAGCTGAATGACAAGCAGCTTGCTCTTCTCTGCAATCTGCTGGTATCACTTGGGAGTAAAATGTCACTCCCATAAGGAACACCTGCTGATGGCTCCATCTTATCAGCGAGCAGACAGGCCACTGACTACGTAAATGTCCTGGATGCTCATGGCTCCCCCACCTATGCCTCTCTGGCCATGGTGTGATGAGATCCTGGAGCCCCCACTCCCTCCCTGGGGTTGCTGCTCCACATCCTAGCATCTGTCCTCTGCCTGGAGTCCACCATCCAGTCAGGTTCTAGACTCAACTCTTTGAAGGACAGTTCTGGCCAGGTCCCTCCAAAGCTTAACCACAGACAGTGGCTCCCTAGCTTCTGCTCTGAGTCCCCATCTTGACATGCCATGAAGACCTTCCAGACCGAGCCCCTGCATCTCCCTGTGGTTTCAGCCTAGGAGAGCCCCTTCCTCACGGAGCTGAGTGTGGGCAGGAGCCTGTAGGCATCACAGTCCTCTCTTCTTTGTGTCTGCCTTACCCTCCAGCTGGAGTTCCATTCTTCTCAGTGCTTAGATTCAATTATCTCTATTTTACAGCTTCTTCTGACTTTCTCCTTCACTCTTCCTTCCTTTATATGCTTTCCCCCTTCATTTTGGGCATCTTTTTTAAAACTTCATTTATTTACCTGCCTCACCTTCACCTCTCAACTGTAAAATTTGCAGAAAATGAGATTGTTTACTTATTTTGTTGGTGCCTGGCACTTAGTAGGCATTTAATACACATTTGCAAGGTGGGTGGGGATGGGGGTGGGATAGAGGAGTGGGTGGTGGGGGAATTAAGACATTTTGACAAGGAGGACACCCTTCCTGCGTATGTCAGGCTCCTCCTTTGCACTAGTGTTGTCATGAAGGGAGCTCGGCTTCCTGACGAAAGATTGGAAACCAAGTGATTAGTGTGAATTCCTGCTGGAAAAGAAAGAACTCTTCTGTGTATTCCCAGGCATCCGAGTCACTGCTAGGATCCTCCCTATGTGCTTGGCAGGCTCTTGAGAATCCCTCCGTTTTTGTTGGAATGTGAGCTTATGGTTTTGGAAAGTTAGGTCTTTCTAAACAGATGCTCAGACCACGAAGTCACTGGAAATGAACGTGGTTGCAATATGCCCCATTTTACACCAATTAAGCAGAGCTCTGGGCTTCTGGGCCACAGCCAACCCCAGGCCCAGGGGAACCTCAGCTATCCCTGAGTCTAATAGCTCACTATCTGCATAGCTTTACACAGTCATCTCAATGACTTCAAAATACTTAGAAGTTGTGTGTTAAAAAAAGGACTTTAGGGTCTAGGGTTGTGGCTTAGTGGTAGAGTGCTTGTTTGTGGTATTGTGGCTAGGTTCGATTCTCAGCATCGCATATAAATAAATAAATAAAGGTTCATTGACAACTAAAAAAAATTAGAATTTCATGTTGTGAAAGAGTCTGGTTCTTACCTAAATAGAGTCTTCTCTCAGTTACATTGAAAGTGAACAGTAAAACTTTTAAGACCACTGTCCCCATCAAAAAAGCAATAGTAATTTTAATGTCATTTCTTAGTGTTTTGTATTGTAGATGGTTATGTAATAGATCCATGTAAATCATTTCATATGAAATCCCTTAGACAGTGCCTGGCATATGGTAAGTACTGGATAAACATTAGCTACACATATTAACTTTTTCCCACATGAAATTGTCTGTGAAGCAGAGTCCCATTTTACAGTTATAAAGTTCCTAACTGAAACTAAAAGTTCAGAGCCCCTTCCCTCTCCTCTCTTAAAAGACACTCTTTTTTGGATCAGTTTTTCTTTGTTCATTAAAACTCAAAAGTGATTTTCCCCAAAGTTTGCTCACTTAGTTCTGTGAAGTAAGGGGATTGATGAGGTGAGAGCAAGACGAAGATGAAGAAGGGGAATAGGCCGCTAGGCTTCTGCATTATCTTAGGGGCATATGCCATACCATAGCCATTCCTGCTAGTTAGGACAGCTGGTTATGAAGTAATTGCACAGTTAAGTATTTGTTTCAGGGCTAGAGACTCCTAGGGTTATGTTCCAGTAAGCCCATCATAAGTTGGAAGTACTCTAAGTAGAAAATGCATTTGATCCACCTCATCTCCTGCACATCCTAGCCAGCACACCATAGAACATCAATGGTTTCCCCTCAAGACAGCAGGCTGACTGGGAATAATAGGATCACTGCCATTGCCTAGAATCAAGAGAGGACCATACTGCATATTGCTAGCTTGGGGAAAGATCCAAATTCAAAATCCCAAGTATGGTTTCTACTAAATACATATCGCTTTTGCATTATCATAAAGTAAAAAATTTTTAAGCCCAACCACCCTGAGACTTGACAGTACTGCAGATTGGATCACATGTATCATCTTACTCAGTACCATACTGCTCCAAGTCTGGTCTCGATTCATATCCCAGAGTGCTGAGTAAGGTAGGTTGACCAGCTCATCCAATTTGGCATGGCTGATAAATGACCAGAGTTGGCTGCTAAGGGTACTGTCAGGGAATTAGGCTGTATTTTGTTTTCTGAATGAAAGAACAGCAGAGTAGTAGATGAATTAGGCCTGGGGTAAATACACTTCACCATGGAAAAGTGTCTTTGTAATGTGTAGCTCTGTATAAAGAGACCATTTCTCTGCTGGAGTGGTAAGTAGTCTACACCAATAACTTATATGATGCAGCCACTTGTTGTTAATGTGGGCATGGTGTACTCTGAGAATGAAATCGCCCAGTTCCTTTCCATGTAGGTATCAATTTATGCAAGAAAGATATTTTAATTTTGCTATTTGTGTCAAAATATTAAGTGCACACCTTGTAAAATTCAAGGAGGTCATTACCTTCAGTCCCATAATGCGTCGTATGGAAACTTCTTTCTACTGCAATACAGGACATCTGTAATGTGACAAGATTTGTGTTGTCACAGGAAAGTTGGAAAGTTTCATGAGTAAAAGTTTCCAAAGATATGGAAGGACAATAGCCCCAGGTAGGTAGAGAGGTGGGTAAAGCCACAGGGTGAGGGATGTGGACCAGGACTTGAATGATTGTTAAGGGCAAACCAGAAATCCATGGAGAAAATTTAGCCCTAAATACTCAAGTCATGGATTTTAAAATGAAATTACATCATAATGAAATACTTAAAATGTGTTATCAATTGTTGAGTCTACTGTTCTTGCTCTGAGTTAGATATTTATGGAGATTTACTTGGTTGCAGACTACATGTTATAGGAAACACCTTGGGACATCCCCAGACGTCATGTGTTTTGATCAGAGCTAAAGAGTATTTTGGTCATATATGAAAGGCAATGCTGTTCTTTCTTATCTTCTCAGGTGGAATATTTCAAAGATCATTATCCATTTCTACAAAGTAGCATTAACATTATATGAAAAACCATAAGTAAACATTTTTTTCCCCCATTTATTTTCTTTTTCAGAGAATGATGGTCTTCAAAATGAAGACTGGAGAATTTTAAGTTCTCTATAGGAATTACAAAAATTGAAGGAAAGAAAATTTTCAAAAGGAAATTGTTTTGAAAAGTATGTTTACAACTAACTGATTCTATTGACTATTTTTTTAAATAATAAAATACTTTGAGAAGATTATATTTATGGTAAAAGGAAACTGGACTAACAATGAGGCCAAAGACTTTTCCTGCCACAACTTATTCTGGGAATAGCCGACAGAGACTACAAGAGATCCGTGAAGGGTTAAAGCAGCCATCCAAGTCTTCGGCTCAGGGGCTGCCCGTGGGACCAAACAGTGACACTTCCCTGGATTCCAAAGTCCTGGGGAGCAAGGATGCCACCAGGCAGCAGCAGATGAGAACCACCCCGAAGTTTGGACCTTATCAGAAAGCACTCAGGGAAATCAGATATTCCCTGTTGCCTTTTGCCAATGAATCAGGCACTTCCGCGGCTGCAGAAGTAAACCGGCAAATGCTGCAGGAATTGGTGAATGCAGGATGTGACCAGGTAGGCACAGACCTCCTCTGGCTTCCCCTGGGGGTGGTTACAGTGAGGAGCCACTTCGAGGATGTTGGGGGCAGCTAGAATCCTTCGGCAGCTACTCGAAGGCTATGAATTGGTTACCTCTCACTGAAGTGTCTTGAGGTTAAAAATCAAGGGCTCTTTTGTGTATCATTGAACAGTTCTCTACTTTGTCTCCAAAACAGTCCTTAGGTGCTTTTCTTCTTAGGCAAGATCCAGAAGTTTCTGAACTCTCCCTAAATTGTCCCGCTTGGGATTGAACACAGAGCCTAAGCATGCTAAGCATGTGCTTCACTACTGAGCTATATCTCCAGCCCAGTTCTGTTGTTAAGATGATGAGAAGGGCTTTCCTACCTCACCTTTTTTTCTGGGGTTTATTGAGGGTTATTCTGAGCTATCGTGGGGAAGGGATTAGCTTTCCTTTTTTTTTGTTTTTGGTTCATGTATTTTTAAACTCTGTTTAGGAGTATTGGTTAACATACATTGGCTCTTCTCTGTTTGCTCCTATTTTAAAAAACAGTTGTTTACACTGTTATGGGAGATGTAAGTATATGCAGAAAATAAGAAAAATCAGAAAAGGCTTAAAAAATCATCAAAATGTGGTGAATGGTATGCTTTACCTTCTCAGTTGCACCTTCATTAACGAAGATGGCATCAATTAGACATAAATACACAACTTATAGCCGTATTCTTATGCTTTCTTAACAGTGTACATACCTGAATAAAATACAAGTTGAGAATCAGGACAATATAAAATGAAACTAGTATCAAACCAAGTATAAATGTAATTAGTTAGAATGTAACTAGCAAAACTATGATTGTATTATAAAATGACTTATGAAAGCCAGCGCTTTATAATTCATCTGTCATTTTAAAAATCACAATTTTACAAAATAGAAATAAACTCTGTAGTTATGCTGCCTTGCAAAATTAGCTCAGAGCCAGGATGGCGTGAGCACTTTTAGTTTCCTAGAAATAACCTAATTATCTACCCCTGGCATCACAGTTGTAGGAAAAGGCTAAAAGTGTCATCTTTGTTTTCAAAGACAATCTCAAACCTCTTGTGTAGAACTTAACGGAGAAAACTGACACTTCTCAGATGATGTTTGTGAAACAAATCCTGCTATTTTGTAGGGGGCTTCCCTGACACTTGGGGATATACTGGGATTAACTTGTGTCTAGCTAGCATTGTTAGGTTGAGTTGCGTTTGTAAAGCACAGGATCATGAGTAATGTGGTGTGGAGTGTTTTAGCAGTGGAAGCTGACAGCAAAGGCATGACCTTGCTCATGGTAAAAGTATGAAGTTAAATATGCTGCCAAGTGTATTCCCAACAAACAAAAAGCAGTGGTTTGAAAATAGGAAAGGAGCAGTCCTAGGGAAACATTGCAATAACATTGCAGAGGGGCTTTCAGGCCAACAGTAAAGCCTAAAATCTTCTCCTGTAAATCAATTGCAAACAAAAGAGGCAACCAGAGCCCCGGTGTTCTTTTCAGTTGTATTTCAGCAATGAGAAAAAGAAACAAGTCAAGCAAATAATCCAAAGTACAGGTGGGATCTTATTAGGGTAAAATCCATTAATGATAATTACAGTGCAAGAAATAATGAAGTAATACTGTTTTTTAATGTGGTAAAATACAAGTACAGGAAAATTAAGGATCATGATACCAATGAAGTGTTCCCATCAACATTTAATTTATGTTAATTGTTAGTAGAAGGGGCTCCATTGCCATCTTTAATGCTCCTGAAATTATTCAGTCAGTTTGGTGTCTAGATGCACCTCCACCCATACCTTCCAACTCAGACAAGGGTGTATTTGCTTTCAAAAATTTTTAGTAGGAATTTCATTATGTGAGCCCGAATAATGTGAGGAAAAGATCAGTGGTGCCTCTGAAGCTGTGTGCATCTGTCGGATAAATCAGATTATTTGAATTCCAGTACAATAGGTATTCCTACCTTTGTACCTTTCCCCCTTTGTCTCCTATTGTATTAGATGCAGTTTTAATTCAGAGGCAGTTTTGTTCTCCTGTATTTTAATTTTAAGTGCTAACTTTAAATCTCTATTCATCAGAGGGCAGTAAGTGCCTTGTTTTCCCAAGGTCTTGCAGGTGCTAGTGGTGACACCTGCTTTCACATGCAGTATCTTATTTACTTATGTGCATCTAGACATCTTTCCATTTTATCTGGACTAAGGCTTATTGAAAACATTCCCTTGACTGGTTGTGAATGAATGCTTTCTTTTTAACTTTTTATTAAAGTAAAATTTACATTTAAAAAATGTATAATTTGGGCTGGGGTTGTGCCTCAGATGTAGACTGCTTGCCTAGCATGTGTGAGGCACTGTGTTTGACCCTAAGCACCACTAAATAAATAAATAAATAAATAAATAAATAAATAAATAAATAAATAAATGTATAAAATGTGTAATTTGTAAGCTTACAGCTAGGTGAATTTTCATATTAAGCGTATCCATGTAACTAGCATGTATGGGTTTATTTTAAATGAAAATGTCTAAAAGTGAAAATTTCTGGAAAACGCAAAAGACTTAATTTTCTATGTGATGATATAATATATATATCAAATAATATGATATTCATAATCTTTTGCACATAAATTATTAAAGACTTGTAGAAATTCCTATAGGTAAAAGGAAACTAGGCTAGTAGATTAATGTTCCTTAAGGGAAAGAGCTGCTCTTTAAATATAGCTTTGAGGAATTGGAATGTTAAGTTTTTGATTACAAATTTCATATTTTGTATCATTGAATACTTGCTATTGGCATAAGTAATCACTTAAATTTAGCTTTTACTTTACTGCCTTATAACATTCAGTTCTCTTTCTTCTTTTAATCTTCATGGTTTCAAATAATCGTATTTCCAGGTTTTCCTCTTCAGGGTTTTTAAAAGCACTGAATTGATTTGCAGTGATGTTAATGTATGTAATGTTTCTCTGTTACACAGAAGCAGTGGCTTGTGTTTTCCAAGTGGGTTAACAGGTGGAGCACCTCCATGCCACGCTGCAGAGGTGTTGCTGAGCTTACTGTACTTAGGAGTGTAGGAGTATAGGTCTTGGGAGAATGAGGACCCAAAGCAATAGCTTCCAGGTCAGGCCCATGGCTCTGGAATCCCTTGGAATAGCAATGCAGTTTGTCAGGTTGTGTCCCCTAAAGGAGGAATTGGATGAGAAATCTCTTCCAGATGTAAATACTTCCCACATGTTCTTGCTTCCCTTGAGAAATCAGCATGCTTTTTCTTCTCTTGACAACCTGTTTTCTGACCTTAGTGGAGTCTCCCTCTTGTCTGCTGAGAGGTGCCCAATTTGTGGCTCAGCATCCATATATTCCTGAATTTTTGTGTCAGCTGTGATTTTCCTAATCCTGATTTAGTCCACTTCTCTTCCACTTTATTGTATGTGTTTAAATTAAATCTTTAATGGAATGAGGATAGGGAACATATAAACAAAGTGGGGTTTTTTGTTTGTTTTTTTAAGAAAGAGAGAGAGAATTTTAATATTTATTTTTTAGTTATCAGCAGACACAACATCTTTGTTTGTATTTGGTGCTGAGGATCAAACCCGGGCCGCACGCATGCCAGGCGAGCGCACTACCGCTTGAGCCACATCCCCAGCCCCACAAAGTGTTTTTTTAAAACCAAATTTGGCAAAAGGAAAATAGCCAGTAATTGAGATGTACATTCAGAGGCAGCCTTCCTGAAAACAATGACCACTGCACCCAGGGAATCTGGGATGGATCTGGTTAATAAGCAAAGGAAGTCAAAAATGCATTTTTAAGCCAAAAGGGCAGAGAGGAAAAAAAAAAAAAAACAAGTTTCTCCACACACTATACAAGTTCTTCTTCTGACAGCACTGCAAGGGGTTGTGGCCTGAGCCTCAGGGGCAGGAGGGTCTCGCATGGGAACTGCCCTGGGGTTTGCAGGTGCCTGTGTGCCAGGCACCATCCTAAGCACTTGCCAGATATTATTTCTTCAGAACTGCACAGCAGTCATTTGAGATGGTGCAGCATCCTGTCCCACCTGAGTGCTTGTGAACTGACCTGTGTGCAGAGTGCTTGTTACACTTGCTTATTACTCGTACAAAACAAGTGACAGTGTCACTGAGAGGAAGGAGTCAGTGTACTACTCTCTGAGGGTGGTCTTTCAGAGATCTGGCTGTGATGTATCCTGTGTTCACCATTGCCCTTGTTGCTGGATGGATGCTTCTTTTTCAGGTTCTGTGTTTCCATTTGCTATGACTTCTCCCCCTTTCACTCATGTTCATTGGGGCATCCTGTTGTCATTTATCTCCTCTCTGGACCCATGCACAGAACTTGCTGGCTCTCGATGCCCTGTCTTGCTCCAGCTGCAGATTCTAGTCCACAGCACATACTCACTAATTTCCCAATACCAATGAGCTCTCTCTGATAAGGATGTGCAATGGGCCTTCTCCCAGCTACCCCTTTCTACTTATTGATTCCCAAATGACTGTTTTAGTCAGCTTTTTCGCTGCTATGACTGAAGGACGTAACCAGAACAATCTTAGAGGAGGAAAAGTTTATTTGGGGGCTCACAGTTTCAGAGGTCTCAATCCATACACCACAGGCTTCATTCCTCTGGGCTCATGTTCAGCACACTCCACTTGCCAGATACCATATACCCCAAAGCCATGCCCCTGATGCCACCCCCAGCCACATCCCACCTGCCTTCAGTCACCAATTAATCCCATCAGGTGATTAATTCACTGATTCGGTTAAGGCATTATCTTACACGTGAGGTTTTTGGGGACACCTCATATTGATACTGCCCATTATAGGTGACGAGTTCTGCTTCCTCACATGTTGAAGTTTGAACATTAGAGAAGCACGCCGAGGCAAGCTTATAGAGCAGGGTTTATTCTCCCAGGAGAGAGAAGGGGGCCACAGCTGGTATCCTGGTATCCCCAGAAGCAAGGTGTTCTGCCCTTTTTATATGTCCTAGGCTTCCTTTGTTCTCTT